CCGATAAAATCATACTTTTGCCAATATTCAATTAATAGTTTATTGAAAAATTGTTGGAACTTTAAACCACACATTCTAAAAGATGTAGAAGAAGAAAAAGCCAAATTTATAGAAATGTTTAAAGGCAAAGCAGTGGGACCTTATCTAATCCCACTGGAAACAAATGAAGTTTTTAGTGAATGGAGAGTGCAGAAACTGATCAACGTGCTCAATACCTTCAATTTACTGGAAACATTCCAGGAGACTTTACTTCTACATTCATCACGTTACCCCAAAATTACGGAATAAACAGACTACGAATGCTGCAGACAATTACAGAATTCTTATGAGTCACTCAATGGTGGCTCTCGTGGTCTACAGGTACGTTGTTCACCTCTCATTCAATAGATCCTCGGTTCGAAACCTGGTTTGGCTCCTCTCTTTCTACTGCTACCCTAGCTCTGTCTACTGTCACTCCTGGCTCCTTATTACTGCTATCTTTCTGCCGCATTTCTGATCCTAGGGTCAAACACCTAGCCTTCTCGGAAAAGAGCAAAAAATCTCTGAGGTTCCGCGTGTTAGTTGCGCACATTAAAGATCCCTTGGTAGTCCTAAAATCGATAAGAGTGGGCTTCGGTTGCCAAGCGGGAAATTCATAATTCAGTCCTATCAAAACGGAAAATACTCTAGTCAGCATAAAACCATACAGAGTACCTTTGAAATCGAATGTGGCTGCCTGAGGGCTAATAGGGCCCTACTAAATTGGGGGGGGGGGAGGTCGCGTACGTAAAAATCAGTTACACTGCAGGTTTAAGAAGCAACAGTCGACTACCTCTGATATCTAGCAGGGGGGCGAGAAGAAATAATACAATGAAGCTACAAAGAGAAACGAGATAAGACCCGAGGAAATTTTTGTCTATATTTTTTGTAAGTGTTTTACGGCGCTTGCAACTGCATAAGGTCATGAGCGCGCCGGACACACTTTCAGTTGATAGGAAATTTTGAATTTTGCCCGGGAGGCGGCCGAAGCCTACCCTTATTGATTTTGGACCACCAAGGGATCTTTAACGAGCGCAACTTGCACCCGGGGCTTCCGAAATTTGTCGCCCTTGTCCGAGAAGGCTAGGTGTTAGATCTTACCTACCATAACCATAAGATCAAGGATGTGGCTGAAAGACAGCTATAAGAAGGAGCCAAGGAGTAGCTGTAGAAAGGCTGCAGAAAGGGTCAGGAGGTCAGAGGAGGGGTCAAAGGAGGTGAGGGGGTGGGGTCAGAAAATGAAGACGAAAGCAGACGACAGAACATAGTTAGAGAGCAGGAAAGGGGGCGAAAGGAGAAAATTTTAGAGAGGAAAATTTTCCACCGCTGTCCGGATTCGAACCCGCGACCTATTGAATGAGAAGCGAACATCGTAACCTATTGACCACGAGAGCCCCTTCCGAAGTTTTAGAAATGAAATTTGAGATAATAGCTGACAGTGGAACAACGAATCCCACATTAATCATTACAATGTTAATAGAGAAGTGTGTTGAAATGCTGAAAAATCTGTATTTACAGTTCACTGGCTATTCCAAGGTTGTTGGGGTTTTGTTGTTTTTTTGTTGTTGTTGGGGTTTTTTTTTGGGGGGGGGTTATCAAAATAATATATATTTATCTTATCTTATCTTATCTTGTCTTATCTATCTTATCTCATCTCATCGTATGATAATGAACTGTACTTCTTTAGAGTAGAATAGAAGGCTCCGAAAAAAGTAGAATGATATTTATTGTGCAAGTCATTTGAGAAAGACAATCCTACGATAGGGCAATATGCACTATTATTAACTTTGAATAATCATTCACGTCATATGGAAGTTAGGATACACCTCATACATCTGTTGATAAAAGTCTTTACTTTATTCAGCACTGTCTTTGTTGTCTTCCAAGTTGCGCAGTCGTAGGGGGGCACAGACTTGACATTGGAATTAAAGAGTCGAATCTCGGTACGCAGTGAGATGTTGCTTGCTTTCCGATAATTGGTTGAACGCTGACCTTGCCCTGGCGGTGACGTGTTTGGCTGATTTTTTTTATTAATTTATCATGATCTGGGTTTCGAATGGTGCTGAGGTGTGTGTTTGGGGAGGGTGCCTAATTGCAAGGGCAGGTACCAGTCTGCGCCAGTTATCAGTTAAGGAGACTGGTGATAGCCAACTTCATGCTGTTCAGATCTTACACAGACTGTGTCATATGTTCATCTAGAGTAATATAAATCAGAAGAGACAAATCATTTATTCTAGTTACCGGTACTCTCATCAAAAGTCAGTAGCACATTATATGACCTCGGTTAGAGGACTCGGGTAAACAATGAATATTATTTTTCTTTTTTAGACTTGGGGCGAAGATGGTTATCATGATACATGCATTCGTCTTGTTATTCTTTGAGAAACCAGCCCAGTCTTTCTTGACGCTCTGCTTGATGAAAATGTGTACTGGAGAGGAAAGAGGGGATCGAAGACCAACAATCAAAATACGTTATATATTTATATATTGTAATGTGCGCGCGCGCGCGCGTGTGTGTGTGTGTGTGTGTGTGTGTGTGTGTGTGTGTGTGTGTGTGTGTGTGTGTGTGTGTGTGTGTTTGAGAGAGAGAGAGAGAGAGAGAGAGAGAGGGAGAGAGAGAGAGAGAGAGAGAGAGAGAGAGAGAGAGAGAGAGAGAGGGAGAGAGAGAGAGGGGGGGGGAGAGCGAGAGAATAAACAGACAAAATCATAAAATGAACAAGGAGGCCTTTCGTAGAGATAAATGTAGATCTAGTTGGTGACAAGCAACAGAGAAAATTTTGAATTTCATGCAATAATAATCGTGGTCTAGAGTTTACGGTTCGAAACTTGAGCAGCGACAGAAAAATTTTCTTCTCAAAAACTGTTCTCCTTTCACCCCCTTTCCTGCTCTCTAACCATGTTCTATAGTCTACTTTCATCTCCACTTTCTGCCCCCAACCCCAGCCCCCTTTGTGTGGGTTCCTGGCTCTTCTACAGCCTTTCTTCTAAATCCTTGGCTCCATCTCACTGTTCACTTTCAGCTGCACCCCTGATCTTAGGGTAGGTATAAAAAAGATTTAACACCTAGCCTTCTCCGATATAAGAGCAAAAAAACTCGGAGGTCCCGAGTGCAAGTTGCGAACGTTAAAGATCCCTTGGTGGTCAAAAATCGAAAAGAGTAGTTTTCACCCCCTATCCGAGCAAAATTCAAAAGTAATCCTTGCCAAACTGAAAATGTTTCATGTGTCGAACGTGCTAATATGACCTTATGCAGTTGTGAGCGCGGAAAAATACTGACCAAAACAAAAAACGTTGTAGCTAGATAACTTTCTGGTGAGTGAATACGTGTACATGTATCTTCAAAGACCAAACCATGATCTCGAACCACCTGCTGCTATGCACTATATACCTTCAACTGATTATCATTAGTGGTTTTGTTTGCTTGTTTGTTTTCAGAAGAAGAAAAAAAACGAAAAGGTTTTAAATGCAAGTGTAGGTTTGTTTATCCCCACACACGACACAAGTAAGATTATTTAGGAGGCGGGCTTCCAACCCTGCATGGCTGTCAGGGCCAATTGGGTTTGAAAGGACACAATCTATCCCAGCAGAAATCTGACCGAGATACTCGATAAAAATTTCTCCCCACTCGCGAATCGAACTCGATTCAGTTCGTGCGACACCGGCAAACGATTCTGTTTTGTGAAGGCAACTTATTACAGTCATGACTTGACGAATGATCAAAGCCGAAGTGCAAGTCATAGTAGCGACCTTTCTTTCATAATATTGAATCATATGATTATAGGCCTATTGTGACCAACAACTCCCCCCCCCCCCCTCCACCTTACTCCCCTTCCACATTCCTGAAACACTTGCTCTTCTCCTCTTTAACAGCTTTTCATCCAAAGTATTCATTTCGCCAAAGATAGTACTATCTTTGATTTCGCCGCATTTATTATTCTAATGCCGTGGTCCCCATAAATTGATTACTCTCTACAATCCCGTCTCCGATGCTCGCTTTCGATTCGATTTCAGTTGATATTGTTTCGTTGCGTACTAAGTTACTACACATTTTTTGTGACCTTGATCTTGGGAAATTAAAAAACAGTGATTGACCTTGTCAAAATGGCGACTGTATCCCTCCTCCGAGCTTGCTCAAGAGGTATCTCTTGCTTTGTTTCCTTTTTTCGACAGTAAACTCTTCGTTCTGTGTGAAATTTCAATTACACCATCATTTTATTTGTACAATTATGAGGTTTTTCTGGGATGCTGGATCGTTGAAGTTCCTTTTGTTATCGATTATAATGCAAAGACGACCCGTTTCGCCGTTTCTTGAAGCAGTTGCAACAACGGACAACGGACAACGTCCGTTCGTCCGCCGTTGGTAAACACGGATGTCCTGGAAATGACTTTGAAATGTAGACCTTTATTTCAACCCCTTCGTGGGACAGGGTCAATTTGTGCTTCACAAGCACAATTTTGGGTAAATTTTTACTTTCACTCCCGCACACAGATGCACTGTTTCAGGGGTCAAACTGCTGTACTGTTTGCTGCAGATCACACATACATAAAGCCACTAAAACTGTCGCAAATCAATTATTTTCAAGACAATTTCAAATCTAACTGTAAAATATCAAATTATGGGTAAAAACAGGGTAGCATGCCCCCCTGTAACCCCCCAGATTTTCTTTTACCCCAGTGGGGCAAGCCCCCTTGGAACCCCCCGATTGGTCCAAAGCATGTCTATCTCGGTTAAAAACAATCAAATATTTAAAAAAACTATTAATTGGCGACGGAAATGAAGTTGATATTCGTGTTCAGCGCATCAATATGTAGTAGAAAATAGGCATCTGGTAGCTGAGTGTGAGACGGGAGGGAAAGTAAAAAAATACCCAATTTTGGATCCTCAAGAACAAAGACTGGGGCTTAGGGCCTGACCTTTAGTAGATCTAGATCTAGTTGGAAGTGGTTATTCTCACCCGGGGTGAGAATAGAAATACGATCGACCTCTCACCCCGGGCGAGACTTGCCACCGTAGGCTATTCTCACCCGGTGTGAAACAAGACCTGTTTTTCCTAATTTCGGAATACTTTCTATCGATGTGGATGATCAAATGGATAAAGGCAAAGAAAAGATCACTGCCAGTCTAGCCGTACTTAGATCTAGGTTTGGCCCAATTGACTCAAGCCTGTTAACTCTAGTCCTGCGAGGTTAACCGGAAGAGGGCTCTTATCGATCGATGACCCACTTACGTCGCCTGCGGGCTTGTGCCGCGGGGTGCCGGGGTCAGGCACTGGTCACGAGAGCGTGCCGCGGCAGGTCAGGGAAACACCTCATATCTTTTATAGCAAACTGATACGATCAATGAATAAATAAGTGTTACGATCACACGAATAATCCCATTATCCCCTCGTCGGTAGATCAGAGACGCTGAGATTGGAAGTTACACCAAATCGAATAACTTTTCCAGAGTTTTCCAGATTTCACACCTATTATGAATGAATTTGCGAACAGCTGCTTATCAGTTATCGTTCGAAAGGGGGAAAAAATGGGATAATTTCCTAATATTTTTTTTATTCAGTTGCTCTCAAATGTCTCCCTCTGGTAGGACAATGGTTCGAAAATCACCAAATATGATTATTTACATCAGGAAACAACGTTTGGTGTAAGAATTAGATCATTTGAAAAGTGAGGAAAGGTGTTTGCATTGAAAGATGAAAGTCCTATTTCCTGAGGAAGAGGCTAGCCGTACTTAATGACAGCTAGACTGGCAGTCTAGCCGTACTTATTCTTAATATGATGGCTAGACTCACCATTTACAAAAAATAGGCCTACTGAATTGTAAATATATACATTTTTAGTGTGCAGTACCTAAAGTATTTGTATTTGAGACGAAACCAGGTGCCTTAATGACAGTGCATGTATTTTAAGCCTCCTGTTTTCTAATGTTAATAGGGCCTAAGATAAGTACGGGTAGACAGCCAGGCTAGCCGTATTTAAGGACGGCTAGACTGTCAGTCTAGCCGTACTTAATATTGATGGCTGAATTGTAAATGAAATTTTTAGTTTGCAATGCCTAAAGTATTTGTATTTCAGACAAAACCAAAAGGTGCCTTACTGACTTGCATGTATTTGAACCTGAATAATTACTAGATCTAGATCTGAGACCTGTGTACTTAACAGGCTTGAGTCGATAGGGCCAAACCTAGATCTAAGTACGGCTAGCCACTTCGATTTCCTGAATATCCTTTCGAGTCCCTCAAGTGTCTAACTGGGTCAAAATGCTCATATTTCATTGGATGAACGTCTCAACTGACGCTCTGTTATCTCTACCAACGCCTCGCGTTGCAAAACAATGCAGTAAGTTTGAGATGGACACTCAGGCACAAGCAGATTGACGCACACACATTTTAGCACACAGATGCAGACCCCGCCGTAAACTAAATGCGTTGCCCGCGCGGGACGACGACTGATCAGGGACCAGCTGTGGAGCGCCGCGCGGGGTTGCGCTTATCGGGCAAACATTTATCAGGGACCAGAATCTTAAGGGTTAAGTACACTGGTCTCATTAGATCTAGATCTAGTAATTATTCAGGTTCAAATACATGCAAGTCAGTAAGACACCTTTTGGTTTTGTCTGAAATACAAATACTTTAGGCATTGCAAACTAAAAATTTCATTTACAATTCAACCATCAATATTAAGTACGGCTAGCCTGACAGTCTAGCCGTCCTTAAGTACGGCTAGCCTGGCTTTCTAGCCGTACTTATCTTAGGCCCTATTAACATTAGAAAACAGGAGGTTTAAAATACATGCACTGTCATTAAGGTACCTGGTTTCGTCTCAAATACAAATACTTAGGTACTGCACACTAAAAATGTATATTTACAATTCAGTAGGCCTATTTTTTGTAAATGGTCAGTCTAGCCATCACATTAAGAATAAGTACGGCTAGACTGCCAGTCTAGCCGTCATTAAGTACGGCTAGCCTCTTCCAGAAAAGATTACGTTATAGCACAAAAGTAAGCTAGATCTAGTTTTATTGACTACAAAGATGCTATGGCTATTTCATTTCTCGAATCGAGCCGAACTACGGGGGTCGACATTTTGTTTTGCCCGGAAGTTCTCGCAAGATCTACTCCTCCCCTCTTCTCTCTCTCTGTCTCTTTCTGAATACTGTCTATCGGTGTGGACGATCAAATTGACCAAAACAAAGTTAAAAAATGATGTTAAAACACAAAAGTAATTTAATTTGGTCATCAACAAAGATGCTACGGCTATTTAACTTTTCGAATCGAGCCGAACTACGCGGGTCGCCATTTTGTTTTGCCTGGAAGTTCTCGCGCTACTCCTCTCTCTCTCTCTCTCTCTCTCTCTCTCTCTCTCTCTCTCTCTCTCTCTCTCTCTCTCTCACTCTCTCTCTCTCTCCACTGCCCACAGACAAAATTGTACGCTTTTAGCAGGCTAACAGTAGTAATGGAACGTTTGTTCACGGCACAGAATTCTACAATTTTTCTGTTATCACAGTGTAGAATTCTGTGGTTTAGGGTGAACGCAAAATTGGTTGGCCTAGATTTAGGCTATAACGGTGAGCGCACACTGGGTGAGAATAGCCAAAAGACTCGCCTGCGCTATTCTCACCCGGGGTGAGAATAGAGGTGTGGCCTTAGTAGTTAGGTGCATTGAATTCGAGTGTTCGTATTCGTAATAAATTTAGGCCGGCTCTAGAGTGGTGTCGCTGGTTCGCGTGCACTTCGCGATCGTTGAACATATTTTCCGCCATTTCCGGCTTTGCACTTTCGTTTTTAGCTCTTCCATTCAAGAAACTATTGTCCTATAAAATGGTCTTGCTCATAGTCGCCAGATTTCTTAAACGTTGTGTGCCCAACAGTTTTTCCAACCTAGGGTGTTGTCTTCACTGTGCGTGCATGTCTTCTAAGTGCGTGCATGGGATTCTTCACTGTGCGTGCTCCATATATATACACGTTGAAAGCCAAAAGAAGAGAAATCTGATAACATTTCTGCATTAAATGACCACACAGGAAGATATCAAGTCACTTTAAAAGCAAAGTAAGGCAATTTTAATTAGAATCTAAACTAATTTTATTTAGGGGGTACAAATAGTTCAAATACATAGTGAAAAAAATCAAACAGAATTTTTCACAACTAAAATCCACATTTTCCTACTCTTCATCACTCATTCCTCTGATCTTTCCAACTTTCACACTGTCCACATGCCACCATCCATGACATTCATCAAACTGCAACCAAATCATCTCTAAATTTGAATCTACTTTTTTTCTTCGTATTCTACTATATATTTCATTGTGCACGCACAGAGAAAACTCGAGTTTTTTCAGTCTTCTCAACGCGTGCACCCCCCGATCCCGAAACTCACATTACAACTTGGCATAGAACTCGATAAAAGGTCACGTGAAACACTCAAGGAAGGAGTAGGCACATTTTTTAAGCAAGGGGGCACAGTCTATTTGAACCAATCAGAGGCAAATAGGTCATAAAAACTAGTTCACAGGTCAGTGTTGAATGTCAACTTGCCACAGCTGATAAAAACACTCTCGATGATCCCTTGTCGGCAAACGTGTGATGGAAGTAAACAAAAATGGCTGCTGCACAAACTGACGCATTCAATCAAACGCAAAAACACAATTTTAGGCTAAAAACAAAGGAAAACAAAAGTGCACGAACCGAGAAGGCGCACACGCAGGGGCTACACCACTCTAGATCTATTTCTCGGAACGCTCGGGAAATAAACTTGAAATCTAGAGATCTAGATCTAGAATTTCTAGATCTATTTATCCTAACAGTTTCTGTCTCAAGATTTTTTTGTCATTTCCAAATGGAGTGGCCCGTGTGTGTAAGGTGTGAACAGGGCGTGGGGGTGTAGAGTGATTTTTTTTTGTGATTTCGAATCTAGTTCTTGCTTTCGAAGTGGCTTTTCGGACTCGAGTCCGAACAGCCACTTGAGGCTATTCGGACTCAAATTCCTGTGCGCATGCACATTCACCAGTTGTACCGTAAGCGTGGTCTATACTCGAGTCCGAATAGTCTCCCGTTGCTATTCGGACTTAAAACTACTGGTAGGCTCCTACAATTACACTGCGTTTCACTACTACAATGGGATCAAAACATAAAATTCATAATCAGTCCTTATAAGACAGCCCCCCTTCCCCTTTCTCTCTCTCCATCTTACTTCCACAGTGACCACAGGCCCGCCCCACCACCTTCACCCCTTTTTTATTTGCATATAGATCTATATTCCCTCCCATACCGTTGCCCACTGCCGGGCCCTACTATTATAATATAAATATCCTTTGTAAGAAAAGACCACAGTTCGCACTGGGTCACCACGGTCGGCATCCATTTGTTGTAAGTTCCTTGGTCAGGCTGATCGTAGAAACCGAGGAAGGCCAAGGTCGAATTGCTTGTCTGCTTCACATCCGGTACCCCTAGTGGTTGCGCACGCGCATACATTGGAGTTTGAGTCCGAATAGCCACGGAAGGCTATTCGGACTCGAATTCAGACTCCAGTCGGAATAGTGGTGGCCTTTTGCTTTAGGGGTGACTAAATGTAAAATAGGTTACTGCCAAAGTCAAGCAGTCTTGTTTTCTCGCAGTAGGGGCTTACCTTTTGAAGGCATTTTCAAATGAAGTATACATCTAGTCCGGGAACAGTGCCCCAACCACAATTGAAGTATCTTAATATTCAGACATATAAAAATCTCTTGCTCTAGAAATTGAATTTGATGCAAAAAATGCTTCTTCCGAGTCCTTGCAGAATAAAACTCTTGACCTTTGTAAATAGAAAGCTATAAAAAGTACAGCGTTATTTTCATCATCGATTAACACACCCCCAGGGTATTCACGGCGAAAACACACATTTCCAATGCCGCTCGCTGTACACGGCTCGCCTGTAAAGTCTGACGTAAGAGGTTTATGATAAAGATTCACATCTATACAAAGTGTTACGAACCCATGAATAACCCCCTCTCATAAGCTGATGAAACATTACGAGTAATTACGCCCATTCGAATACCTTTGTAGACGAATTATCTGGGTTTCGAAAGGGGTTATTATAGGTCAATTTCGGAATGTTTTGCTCTCAAATTGTTCTTTTTTCTTGCGCAATGTTATTGAAAACTATCAAATAAGCTTATTTTTATCAGGTAATATCATTTCATACAAAATCAAGCTAATTTGAAAGATTTTATACAGAAAAATGGAAGTTTTGTTTCCTGACTATCCTTTCGAGCTCCTTATGTCTGAGTGGGTCAATTTGTTCTAATTTCATTGGACGAACATCTAAAGCTATCAACTTAACGTGTTTTGAATGAGACCTAATATATGGCTCAGTCATGAACCAACGCAGGTGGTTCTAGAAGTAGGCCTCAAACACACACAAACTCAAGCAGACTCTCACACACACACACACTTGAGCTGCGGGAATACCGGACAGAATGCAGATGATGTTCCGCGCGCATTCGCAGAGCCAGGGCTGGACTGACACGAACCCGGAACAAAGGCGAGGTGCCAAAATAGGCTTATTGGGGAGCATAAACCCGGCCCCCGCAGGATCAAAGGTTTTTTTATTTTATATCATTCATAGCTGCCACTTTTCTACTAAATAACGAAAGAAACTTCGCTTCATCTAGCTTTTCCCGCTAGTTTAACCTCCTTCCTCCACTGGACAGCCCTTGGTCACAAATTGCGATACTTTTTTTTACACGCAGGAAAACACCGAACCAGGAGTGAGACGGAAACGCAGATACTTCCATTCCGTGCCTATCGTTTGTTTCACATTGTTTATTGTGGAGTGACGGTGTCGATCGAGCATCGGGACGATGGTGCGCCGAGTTGTCATTGAAAACAACAGAAATTGATGCAGAATGCAAAAATGAATAGAGCTGGATTGAGAAAGAAGCATTACGGAGTACGACTTCAAAAGTTCATTAAAAAATTAAATCTATTATCTATTTGTGGTGGCCGAATTTTGCTATTCAAAAGGCTTTTTAATGGCTGCATCGATCGACATGCGGTTTTCCCCAAAAGGTTCTTTAAAATATTCTCCACAGCATGACGCCCTTGGTTTTTTCAGTTTTGAGACAGTTTTGCTGCAAGAAGCTACATTTCTTTATTTTGCCGATCGGTTTTGTAGGCCCACACTTCTGTCTGTTATTTTAGAAAATCCGGAAGTGATATTTTGCGAGGCGCATTTTGTTTTGAGAGTATAGATCTAGACCTTCTAATTTGTTGCATCTCTCAAGATGTATTGCTCTATTCCAGTTGAGGGTAAATATAGTAGGCCAATGACTTTCAGTTGATGTTAATGCACCGATCACTCCTTTCATCGAAAGGGGGCCCAGCTAGTAATTTATAAGCAGGGTGCTGCACTTTGCGTTTGGTGCGATAAAGAAACCTCCTCATAGACAGTGGCAAAGGTGTTGCCTCCTTAATCTAATACTGCTTTACATCGTTGTACATGTCTAAAATGAAAGAAATATTTTATGAGACTCTAGCTGGCAACGAACACTGGATTTTTAGTTACCAAACTGGGTCAAATGTTTGTTAGTCCACTTAATGTCTTGGGGTTGTTTTTTTTAAATACATTTTAATTCAATATAGATAACAAATATGACACTTTTCCCTTCCTAAAACATAGACGTTCCAATATATATTGCCTCTGGAAGGCCTTTGGAGCGCTCAACACCTTTGCGTGAATTTCCTCCTTTTTTGAAATTCCTGAGTGGCAGCTATGATCATTGGAAAGGTCTTTTATTATTTAAAGAGGAATTTTAAAATGTCAGTTAGAGGGACAGCAAAGGCTTAATTTAATAATACATTTTACTGAATTCTCTGGCCACAAAAATCATTGTGTACACAATAAATAAATGTTCTCAGATAATTCTGTGCCAAGGGAAACTACCTCTTTAAAAAAATATAGAATCCAAGTTATTTTGAAATAACGCTACACTGCCAGTCCTAAGTAAAACCAAAAGAGACTCAGCATCACAGCCCTTAGAACATATCCACTGGCTGCTAGTTCATCAAAAGAGAATAGCTATAAATTTTCTACACTGTGTCACTTATGTTTGAACAGTAATGCACCCCCATTTAAACGAATTGCTAACCCCAGGTATTCTATCAGGACAGCTGTGGTCATCAACCGACACAACTAAATTAAGAATTACTGTAGTTGAAATCCAAGTTGTTCTTATAAATAGTGAAAGATCTTGAGCATTTGTTGACCTCAAAACATAAAACACCCTCTCACATAAATGTTAAAGAGAAAAAGATTTAGTCTTTTCAAACCCATTTGAAACACATCTTTTTAGACAGATGAATACTGTCATTTTTTTTCACTTCAGTGAATGTATTTTTTTCCTTGTGTCTGTGTACTATGCTGAATTATTATTTGGTCGTGTTAAACATTTATTACCATAGCTGAAGAAATGTTTGGAGGTTGATATTTTTAAGCATATACTTCTCCAGTAAAAATTTGTTTGCACATGGTTTTTTTATTTTGTGATTTGGAGATTATGTATTGAATCATTTGAATCGCAATTAACTCCTGACCTGTGCACAGTGTTGTTGTTATTAACTTGTGGAAATGTTTTTTTTCTCTTTTAATTAAGGTTCTCGGAGCATTCTGCTGCAAGTGCAAGTTGCTCCAAAATGTGCAAGTACCAACGTAATTTCGAAACCTTTCACAGCAAGTCCAGCTCTTGCATCCTTTGAATACTTCAGAGCTCGAAGAGGACCCTTTACACCTGGTATGGTTCGTTTTTTTAATCTTCTGATTATGCTCACCATATTTGAAGTTCAATTCCTTATATGAGCTCTCTCTCCAACTCAGTGGGAAACTTAGTACCAAGCTTGATTGCTAGGATTCCTCTCAGTTTGCTGGTTCTATGTCCCAATTTTTATTTTTACTTATCTCAGTTATGTCACAAAAATGTACATCATTAATGTATTTTTGTTAAGTGTAATGAAAAGGGAACTATTATATCTTTATGAAATATATGTCTTCACCTTATTTACGCAGTGACACATCTGTTTCTCATTAACTCATATACTGCGAGTGGACGATGGAAATGTCCAGTGAAAATTGCCCAGTCCCCAAGTAGACGGTTCCAGCGTCTGATGAGATAGCAGAGTGCATTAAATATTACTGCTAATGCAATATTTAACGAGTCTGAGTAGATTTATTTTGACTCAGAAGTGTTAGATAAAAATTTTAATTTCTTCCTCTTTCACTTTGACACAGTGTAGCCATTTTATGAACATTTTGCATGTATTCCCCATTACATATTTCGCAAGATCTGGGGAGAAAACTCCATCAAAACATGGAAAATAGTTCTGGGGTTAATGAGTTAATGCAGCTCCTTGTGAGGTTTTATAACTCTGTGTGCTTTGCTTGGATAGCTTGGAGCAACTGTCTTGATTTATTTTTTACAGGCAGCAAGCTGTCTCTTTCTTTTGTACTGCAGTTTTATCCTCTTTGTAGAATATGTTTAATTGTTTTTATTTTTGGTCTAATAGTACAATTTCAATTGCCCTCATTTTTGTTTGGAAATTGCTGCGAAAGGTTTATATTCTGATCCATTAAACACATTATTTTAACTTTTGCTAACCTGCAGAGGACAAGCGAGGAAAGGGGCACATGATGTTGGCCTCAACACACTGGAAAATTGAACGTGCTGTGGCACTGGGAATGATAGGCATTATGCCCACAGCTCTTTTTGTGCAAGGAGCAGTTGTGGACCATTTGCTCACTACTTTCATCTATCTCCATGGATTCTGGTCAGTATATCTTTCACACCAGAGATTATAATCCACAGGACGCATTTGTCTGTCATGTCGCTATGTTTCCAATTTTTCAGTGAAGATTTATAAATACACACCACTTTGTATACTGCAAAAATCTTATTTTCATTGTCTAGAGTAGGCATGGGCAAACCTGCCCATGTTGCGGGCTGGATTAAGTGACTCCAAATATTAGCAATTCAAAGCAGAAGAAAATTAGGTGAAATCAGTTGCAATAAACAAGTTCTCAAAAATGAGACTAAAACTGACACTGCAGTTAATGTCACGCAGAGGCCTTTCATGAGATAGAACATAAAATTTTTGTTCCATCTGGGCCGGAAAGTGTTGATTTTTAATTTTCGAGTTGGACAGTTTCATTTTTATCAGTTTTATCTCACCGCTGGCCACATTCATTTTATATTTGAGTCAACTCGCAGGTCAGACTGGAAAGTCAGAATCTGGCCCAGGAGCCATAGTTTACCTGTGCCTGGTCTAGAGATTACAAATATCATCCCAAAAGAGGGTGGACTATCATGCCTAGCAGATACATGCATACTGAATTTTCCTTTGGAATATTCCATAAGGTTGCATCGCTCCTTTTTTGTGTATGCTACTCTCTTGTAACACATCTATTCTCTCCGGCACTAATATGACCTGTGTTGCAAGTGCCGTAAAACTCTTACTAAAACTAAAATCTTTTACAAAAAAAAAATTTTCTTAGTATATTAGTGTATGATACACCTACTCTGTGACCCATTTGATCTACATGTGATGTTATTTTGTGTTACACCCTTGATATGAATTACGTCACAAGGGAAGAAACCCCAACAAATTTTTATCTGAACCCCCAACCACATTAAAAAGTAAAGAATAGGTTGTATATTGTGGATTATCGCATGAGCTTGTCTTATAAATGACTTTTCTACCGGGCAAGAATGATTAGTGCCTCTATAAGTGGTACAGTAAGTGTTGTTTATTCATTAGACTTGTAAGGACTTTCATCTGCCTGATTTGTCATGACTGATTTCAAAGGAATTAACAGCCAAAACCTTGCTAATTTTCTTAATTTCTTCCCTTCCTTTCCTCCTATTGTCTTCTGAAGTGTTTGAAAATAAAGTCTGGGGACTCAGGGATGCTTTTTGTAGTTTGCCGTCAATGTTCACAGAGAGGCTGAAGAGGGAAATTGTTGACAACTGACAGAGCTCAGGAAAACTTGTATACAATGTATCATAATGTATGCATAAATGCACACACATATTTTTAACAGCAGGTAGCCATGCCTGATTTAAGCAATTAGTTGATTCCCCAATGACTGCATATGCGCACAACTGAGTTGGAGTTTGTTTGGGGTTTTTTCCCTTCTTTTTTCTTTCAATTTCAGTCTGCTTTTTCAATATCAAGTTAAATTTATTTTCTCTTTTTTTTTATCCATCCCAATGAGACAACCAAACCCAAGCCTCCTTTGTGACAGGCAGGGGTACTTCCCACTTTACTATGTAGATCATTGCTGCAAGATGTATTTAATCGTTGGAAAGGATTGACATCAAAAATTTATAACACAGATGCTGATGTAAACAGGCCAAATGCAAATTTGTTAAATTATAAATGGTAAACATTCTGGTATTTGATGATTTCCGATTGAAAAAAGGTGTAGACCAAGACTGTATCTATTTCATAGTAAAATTTCAGAATGATCAGTGGTCAAATAGTCTTTAGACTTGGCTTAAAAAGACACAGATTTTTACAATTATATTATTATTCGATATGGTTAAAAAGTTTGATTTTCATTCCGTACCTCTAGTGCATTTTATGTTCTATATTGGTATTATGTACACTTATATTGGCATTATAGATTCTCATACAAACATAACATTGTCATTGCAAATTCTAATGGGAAAAGTGGAATTTATTTGGAAAGTGAGCTTCTTTTTATTTTATTTTAACATGACGGAATTTAAAAAGTAGGTTAGTTGAGTATGTAAGTGTACATGTCTCACCTTCACCATGTCTTAATTTTTATTTCTTTTTTCTGTGTTTTTTTATTCCAGGGGTATTGACGGAGTGCTCAAGGACTACTTAGTGAAGTTTGTCCCGTGGGTTGGCAAAGTCTGGTATTTCCTAGCCATTGTTGGATTTGCTGGACTTGTAAATTTCAATTTTAACGATGTTGGTGTATGCAAGGCAATTCAGATGTTCTGGGCCTTATAGGTTGTTGTTGCAATGTGAAAACCTAGACTAGAATGAGTTTATGAAAGGAAAGAAATGGATGTGGTGTAGACAGATGAAATGCTGAGTGGCAAACTGTCCTTAAGAGTCATTAGAACGCTGGTAATGTAACCAACTCTCTGCCTGATCAACCACTGTACTGTCGTTAACCGACCTCTAGAGGAAGGAAATCTCTCAGAGCACAATGTTTATATGGCATAGACCCTCATTGCTTGTGTAAAAATGTTTCTTCTGGACATGCATTGGTATGATAATTTATCGCTATAATTGACCATGTTATGGTTTTTATGTTTTTGCTTTGCTTTTAAGTAGGGCCTACCTGTTAAGGGTTTGCAATGTTTTTCTTCCAACATTTCACTACTTATGCATCTTTTTGTTGATAAGTAGAGAATAACCCCTATTCCCAGGTGTCTTGGACAAGGAACTTGTGATCTCAGTGACCTCCCCTTCCTTTACTATCCCTGAAAAGTATCTTTTGTGCCAATACAGAAACGTAAGTGCTCCTGTAGAACAGCAAATCACAATTATGAGAACATAGCGGTAATAACCTTCCAGGTCATTACCATTTGACTTGAAGGAAGATCTGAAGTAAGTATATTGTCTTTCATCTTTAGAATGTTTTCTCCGTTGCCATTGCCAACTTTTCGGATAGTATCCAAAGTTTGTAAACTGTAGCCCAGCAATATTCAGGGTTTTATTGTTTTCTTTATTTTAGTTTTTTGCATATATTAGATGTCTCCAGTCTATTAGTAAGTTATCTTATGCTAAAAGCATATGTCCTGCATTGCACTATTAGCGGTAATAATCCTTTTGATATATGCTGCCCATTTTCTGAAATCTTGTGAATTATGTCCATGATGTATTAAAATAAATTTTAAAAGAAAAACTTTGACTCGCTCTTGTTTATTTTTTTTAAAGATTGTCATTTTTTTTTAAAGTGGATTTTAGAAATGATTTAATATTATTTATGTGTCATTGTCATGAAATGGACTCCTGTCTATACAATGAAATCAAAGAAACAGACATTTTTCTGCCAGTCTGACAATTTTACCGATTTCAGATTTTAATTAATTTTTTTTTTTGGGGGGGGGGGGGATGGTTCCACACCTTTTATATCCATTTAATACCTATTTCTCTACAATTTGTAGTGAAAAGAATCTTTGATCAAAGGCGCAAAAAAATGTAAAGTTGCTGTTTCAAAGGACACTCAAGCTTTGGAAGTTACCAAACTTTGGCAGCCATTTTCTTTGCTAATTTTACCTCAGACACCAGGCAGTCCCCCTTCTCATTCAATAGCAAATATCAGAACTTCTATTCAAGTTCAAGATAGATGAGAGTTTTATCGCTCAGAAGCAAAACAAGTGAACAAGATTTAAGATTACACCAATTACTTTGTATGCCAAAGAATTGACTTCTTTTATGGCCCGATTTCAACGTTTCATGAAAGATTTTTGCATTTTTCGAAACCAAGTTCCAAGGTCTTTTGTGCAAAGCAAGTCATTAACCAAGTTGCAAGACACAACACACTGAAACTAATCTGATCACCAAAAAAACTTGATTTGCTAGCAGTTGTTTCTTTGCCCATGTTGCTTGACCCTTTTGTCAGCTTTTTCACATCCCTGGTCCAAGAGCAGAGGTAGGATTGAGAGCTAATCTTCCTCAGACAGTAGACAGAGATGATTTCTCCAATCTAAAGTGTAACATTGTCTTGTGACATAACGAGTTTACAAAGGTATCTTTGAGATGTCAAAGCAGTATGGTAAGATTACAACGCTAATTAAAGTCAAAACTCGAGGAGATTGCCTCATGTCCACCTTCCTATGTATAACTATAATTTGAAGTTCTCTTTGGTGGGGTTGCCAAGATGAAGTTCTAAATTAATATATCCTAGTGTTGAAGAAGCTATGCACTGTACAGATAATATATACTGGTATCTTGTGTATGTGTCTCGTAAGATTCAGAAGTTGTTTAGAAAATTGGCACGAAACCTTCTAAAAGTTGAAGTTGAAGGATCCTTGCAACATTTTGGTCTAAAAAATATGAGCTGCTCAACAGGTTGAAGAACCTTCAGTTGGTTTCCCATCGATTTTTACTTGTAGGGTTAAGTCTAAGGTAAAGAGTTCCTCAGGTATTATTGTTTGTACTTTTGGTTCCATTTTTTAGTTTGGGATTGGGACAACGCTGTTCTGAAAATTCATGGGTCTTGCTGACAATGATATAAGTAGCCTACATTGCCAAATTCCCATTTTTAATTCGAGTGTCGAGTACATACATGATACATGTATATAATACAACACAACTCTATCGCAAACCAGAGGATTTGAAGAGCCTCCAGAGGTGGATGGGATCGTCACATTGGATGATAGTTTCACAAAAATTTTAGACCTTGTTTTACATTATTTGGACAGGTCTACCACTATACAGTATGAAATAAGTCACAAAATTCAAGATACGGTATGTACTACTTGGGGAGGGGGGGGGTGAATAGAATGTGAACACTACTTGTTGGAGCATATTTGGTAAGGTCAGCTTTCCTTTGATCACTGCTTGAGTGCATCGACGCGTGCTGCTGATTAATTTAAAGCACTATTCCTCCAAAACGTGTGTTTGATTCAACTTCCATCAAGGCTTGTCATAATCTGGCAGCACCTGATGGTGGCCTGTTTTCCCCTAGATTCTGTAACTTCTCAATGGTTGTTACTTTGAACTCTGACAGGAAACAAAAACCAAAAAAATTGGGAGATTTTAGAATGATTACAACGAGGTCAAGACAAAGTCAAGTAGGGGGTTGCTGAGTTTGGGTGAAGTACGGTGTGGCTTTACTTTATGCACGGAGGCGCTACGCTAACCGTGAAGGCTAACCCAGGTCACCTTAAATTATGTCGGTGGCCAACGGGGCTCTGGTGAAGTTACGGCGGGCCTAGCAAGCCGGTAATGGATAAATTTAACCGTATCCGTACGTCGTGTTTTACTATCGTACCATTATGACGTGGGGAACTCTGTGCCACCACTTTCCAAAGAAGAAATTTACTCGTTAATCCGATCTGTACGCTTTGCATACGCTTTGCATAGCAGCAGTCTGTCAAAATGATTTTTTGAAAAATACTGAAAGTTTCAAAGAGATCTTCGAACTAGAAGTAGAAGTATTCTAAAATTTGAGGGATACGACCCCGGGGGTACAAAATGACCCGAGGGCGTACGGATAGAGTTAAAAGACTGCTAAACACCAAAGAAAGGAGGAAACGAAACGGACAGACTCTAACAGAAAAGGGGATAGAAACGTCAAACTGCCACGAGATAGAACAACGAAAATTGTAATGTATGCGGATTAGGAGACAAGGAACCACAAATCATTGATTTTGTGGAAGCTAGAAAGATTGAAGGATGCCAGAGGAAGGAAGAAGTAAAAGTAAGTACAACGAGCAACGCAGTGCATGATAATGGAGCAATCGTGAATACCCATGCAAGTCCAGCTTCTCTTCCAGCAGGTCCATGTAATTTACTTTGTGCCGTTCATAGAAGCTGTTCCCGCGGGCAAGAAAATATAACCCAGAAGTAGCTGTCTTTAAAAAAAAACCCAGAGCAAACACCTAATCGTTTGGCGTGGAGGATACTTCACAGTGACAACTGTATCACCATTAGCATCAATCTGGTAGTCTTGTCGATGACTGGGACACCATGGATGACTTTCGACTACCGCATCCTCTGTCCACTCCTTTCGATTGCTGGACTTGCTGCACTCAGCCTCAGATAATATAATATTTTCAGACTTGTCGGAGATTGAGATACTAGAATCCCCCCCCCCCCCCCCCCCCCCCCCCAAATCTTTTTTTCTGTCTGCTTCTCCTCCTGTCTCCTTGTAGGCCCCACACCATGTGCAGTTGAACCTGCTGTAATGAACACCTGAATAACTTAGTATTACATATATCTGTCTCCCGCGGTCAATATCAGTCGTAAGACGCAGTGTGTTTTTATCAGCTACGAGGCTCGAAAGTAAAAAAAAGTGACTTTCCATGAAATGTTTGTTTTTCTGGATCAATTGAAAGTTTGATGTCTTCTGTTTCATTTAAGATAAAAATAAACGACTATAACTGACTATAAATTTCAAGTCTCTGTCTCAATTCTAAGACCCCCATTGCTAAGGAAAAATGTTGCTCAACTTCGGAGACCATTTTCTCTTTTTCGTGTTTTCTCACCTCACACAATTAAAAGCTCAGTATTTTTGTCAAATATGGTCATATTTACTTAATTTTTGTTTTAAATTGTAGGGAAAAGGTAATAGTTTTTTAATATAATGTTAACTCAGTTTTGAAATTTCCTTCATATGAATGATATTGACCGGCAGGAACACAAAGACAATTACAGGTCAAACGGCAACTTCCTATCCTATCACACGGTGTCATTCATTATGTAACAAATACACACGGCAACTTACACAACAGCAAGTAGTGTGTTGTGCTTGATGGTTCACACATCTGTTTAAAAAGAAAAAGTCTTTAAAATACTGGTGACGTGCGGCACTTATTCATTGGTTTGATAATATTTTAAGGGAGGGACTTATCTAAGGGGGGGGGGGGAGTCTTCTCAAAAGAACCTATGTGCGAAAAGAGACAAACGTTTTCGTGTTAGAGTAGCAATAATATTGCCTGCGAACTGACGAAGACGATTTGAGTAAACCGTTTTGTGTAATGAAGTACAATGATTTATTAAAGTTAAAAAAACTTGTATCACGTATCCCACATTTCTCTAAAACTAAAAATCTATTTTTTTATAAATATGTTTTTAATTTATAATTTTTAAGAATTTTTTTTTTTTTTTTTTTTTTTGCTGTCCCTTTGCTGCAGATCTTTCTCAGCCACATATGATATATGTCATGTATTTTGAATGTGAGGATCGGACTGTACAAAATAACTCATTTACCATCTAAATCTCACGTTGAAAAATATATGTGACAGAGAAAGCTGTTGGAACGGAACGTCCAAAAAAGTCGATTTCAGAAAAATGTGGCGTACGGGTTTCTTTAACTGAACCGTCCAAATGTATCTGTTGCCAAGGGCTGTAAAAGCACATACATATTTCAACGTGGGAAAGTCCAATTATGTTTCTTTATTTAGCAAAGGTATAAACTCTGCATAGAAGAGACTAACATGTTGAAGTTCAGGATACGAATCTGGGTGGGTTATGAGTTCTTCTTGTTCTGTATAATGGAACGTTTTGTTCCCCCCCCCCCCCCCCCCCCCCCCCTCCTACTCAACTCGATGTGTTGCCATGCGAGAACCATGGGCCTCACCATTGTTGTAGGTCGACGTGTCTCAAGCCGTCCGACGACAGCCATTTCAAATCTGGGTGGTTGACGGGTGCTCAGGAGTGGTTTGCGCCTTCTTTCCTATTCCTATCAAACATCTATTGTCCTGATCTCTTGTGCTTCTTTTTTGTGTTTGTTACTCTCTTGTAACACCTATAATCTTCGGCACTTAAATGACTTTGTTGTGTTGCAAGTGCCGTAAAACTCTTACTAAAACCAGACTCTGAAGCTATCCTGCACAGCCATACCCGCCCCATTCCCTGATGTCATCTGTCCAGCGTCGTGTTGGTTTACTGCTCTCGCTCTTTGGTTTTGTAGCTGATTCTAACATTATGTTTCTCTCCAGAATTTCTTGTCTTTTTATGTAGCCGAAATACCTCAGGTTTCTTGATTTTTATTGCACTTACCTAAAATCCAGCTTTATGGTACGCGTAGTCTTTCTGGGATTGTTTTAGTTGTAGTTTTCGTTTTAGCTGTCCACGGAATATATTATATATATATAGCCGTATACGTTATAACATCTTTCTGTAGCATTACAGAACGAAAGCGTTATTTTTTTTCCTCCTTTGTGTCCATAAGTAA